AAGAAAGTGGAAAAGCGCCCTTTGAAAGTTGGCGACTTCGTGTTACGAAAAATGGAGGCAACCGGTAGGGCCAATGAGCTTGGAAAGCTGACTCCTAATTGGGAAGGCCCTTACCGGATCTATGAGGTAGTTAGGGATGGCACCTACTGCCTAGAAACCCAAGACGACATAAGCCTGCCTAGAACTTAGAATGTAGAAAACTTAAAATAGTACTACTTCTGAGGGTTATAAATTTTTGTAAACAAGAAGTCTATCAATGAAAAGTTGCTTTTTGTTTCAATTACATTATTATTTGTCTTTATGCCATATGGGCAATGCATATACGAACTTTTAATGTTTACTTTAAAAATTTAAGTTTGAAACTTCACACCATAACACACTAAGCACAAAATGGCTAAGTGGCTACGCAACCGGTCTTGATTCAGACGTGAGGCCTACGGCCGGTGGGTTGCTCATTTTACAAATCGCCTGTTCTAGTATGAAACTTGGCATCCGGCGACACCCTTCCAGGTGCAATTGTCGCAGAGAGCATTATATAGCTTTCTCTAGGTTTACACATAGACGACAAAGATTGAACGACCTAGTTGGTAAACTCATAGCCGTCTGACCAGAATAATCTAAGGAACGACTAAGCACGCGACGAAATTGGATGTCTCGTACAACTTACCGGCTATCAACCAGAGTTCTTACTTAGATTATTTATTCCAAAATTGCACAGTTTCCCCTAAAGGGATTAATGAGTTTTGTGTAATGGCTATAAAACTATCCCAGACGGTTATTTACCGCCTGAGTAAGAGGCTGGAAGCGCCTACATTAATGGCCGGCTGTGTACTTCGTTTGGGCCAATCACCATTGTTATTTATTGGCCTTAAAACATCCAATACTTCTCAATGTATCAAATGTTTTCAAGCCAATCAATAAATTTGAAATGAAACCAACCACACAGCCGTCCAGGGGCAAGAGCAGCCAGATTACTACCTGTCGCATGCTTTTCATAAGTTAGGGAAAATATTAAAAATGCGTGAAGACTTGCAGTATATATTCAAACTTCAATTCAAAAATTAAAATTTAAACATAAATGCAAATATGTGCAAAAGTCGACTAAGTCGGAATACTTCATAAATAATCGGCACAAAAGTCTAATAATATTGTCAATCGGGTATACATCCGGTGAATAAGAAAAGAAAATTATCAACCCAAATCCATAGTTGGTAAAATTACAACATACTCGGCACACAGGCCGAAAAATAAGATTAATTGCATACTACCGCAGAAAGATCGGGAGGCTGGCTTAGGGCTACCTCTCCGGCTAGTCATGACCAGAGGGAAGGGTTCATTCATTCGCATTAGGCTCCTGGGATTGATCTGCTTGGGCCTCAGCATTGGCGTCACGCGTCTGGGGCTGGGAAGTTTAATTTACTTGTCCCTCAGCTGGCTCCCCACCATCATCATCTGAGACTTCATATCCTAGTTCGGTTGCCCAGATTTTAAATAGAGGTGGAGCTGCCTCTCCCAGCACTTGGGCATCATACACCGTAGTGGAGTAGTCATACCTAAGTTTGTAGACCTCAAAGTCTTCGTCTTGGTATAGGAGACTCCAAGCAATTTTAAGACAGGCCTCATTATCGCGCTTGTTCTCCTCCACCAGGCGGCCTTGCTCCTTAGCAATTTCATCCTGCTGCTGGCTCCTCAGGTTGACAAGCTCCACCCTTAACCGGGCAACGTCCGCCCGGAGCTTTGAGTTCTCCTTATCAGCGTCCTCCAATGCCTTGAGATCAGATTAAGCATTCTTCAATTGTAGCTCAAGGTCATTTGCCCGGTTGTTAGCATCATCGTTAGCAGCCGTCATGTTCCGGATTAGCTCCTCCTGTTTAAACGCTACTGCTTTAATCTTTAAATCCCACATATAGTTAGCATATTCAACAGAGTTGAGATTTTGAGTGGCCCTCTTTTTGGCATCATTTACCTCTTTTTGCTTCCGCCTGAAGAGGCCCCGTAACCCATCCACCCACATCATTACCTAAAGAGAGGGGGTTAGTCGGGAAATTCAATACTTAACAAAATTAAACTGAAAATAGTACTGAGTTGAGTTTAACTTATCTCCACCAGCTGGCTCATTACTCGGTTAAAATCCACTACCTGCTGATCAGGTACGGAGTTCTTCTCAGACCGGGTGAGGGTCCTCACCATCCGTTTTGCTAACCTAGGAAGATCCGGCTCGTCGGATGTAAGATGTACACCATAAGAAGTATTTGGTGAGAGGGATGCAGCGTAGTTGGCACTCATTCGTTGTCGGCTGCTGACTGAACCTCCCGAAGGGTTGACCTTAGTCTTGACACGCATAAAGTCATGTGGCTAAGGAAGTTCAATCCAATTCTTACCTTGGGTTTGAGGCTGGGGTTTTAGAGCATCCTCCTCCGTAGTCGTTGCCTCACCAGCTGCAACATTGGGTGGCTGGCCCCCAGTCATAGGACGCATTCTTTGAGCGCTCTGAGTTTTCAATCAGAGTCTTCATGGCTGCAGGATTTTTGCCCCCAGTCATAGGACGATCCATGTTGGCAGAAGAAATTTATTGGGAAGGATTATTCTTGGCAGCCTTAGCACCGGGAGTCTTCTCTAACTCATCACCCGGTCTTTTGAGGAAGGAGTCAATACGACAATAGCCGGCAAAATGCTGGAGAAAAGATAAAGTAAAAGGGAGTTAGGCGGTCTTACCCCACCCTTTTTTGCCTCCTTGGTCTCAGCAACAGCCTTCTTGGCTTGAAGCTGCTCTTTGCGCAGCAACGCAGCGGACTTAGCCCGCGTCTTCTCCGGGTCAACCATTTTCAGCGCTTCTTCTACAAGGAGCAAACGAATAAGTTAGATAAGGCAATTAAAAGAATCGAAGTAAATAAATAAGAGGCGTCAATTCCCCGGATGTATAGTGGGTCTACCCTTGGTGAACATTGTGCTAAGTCCACAAGCGGACAAGAATGCCTCATCCTTGACAAATTCCAGATGGGGGATCCAGTTCTTGGGCACGACTATGTGAGTCCCATCCCATAAGGGCTCAGTCGTGGTCTAAAAAAATCCCTGCTCCATTATTTGTTTGTGAGCTTTGGAAGAGAGATGGGGAAGGGTACATTTCCTGCCCAACAGAGCCGGTTCCCTGTTGAACCGGCGCAGGATCCGGTTGTGGCTCAATCTTGGAGAGGAGGCAAGATAGAACATCTACTTCCAACCGGTCCATTTGGACACTTTTTCCAAGGACATCAAGTATTGGGGAAGTGTGGTAAGAGTATACCACGCCCCATGACCGCCTAGGGCCTTGCTCATGTAGTGCATGTGAGCGAAGGCAGAAAAACTGGGCTCTAGATTTTGAAATTCGCAGGCGGCGATGTAGCTCAAAATATTGACCCCCGAGATTGGGGTAGGCTGCCAAACGCCTACATCGTACCCCTTAAGAATTTTCCTAATACCCCTATGAAGGGGGAAACGGAGGCCGGCTGCAATTACCGCCTCATAGAAGACGAAGTAATTGTCAGCATTCTCTATCCCATCATCCCAGGCCATTACCGCATCACAAGGCGGGACCTCAATTACCCATGCCTTCTCAAAGGGGTGCGTCTCCTGAAAGGATTCAAAGCCGCTTTGTAACAGGGCGATGTCACCCGACAGCATCCTGGTCTTTTTTGGGTCTGAAAGTGCTGAAGCTTCGGCCGGCTACTGGTAGTCAGTTGAAAATCATCTTGATCGGAGCTAGATGCCTCTGCCCCCGATCTTTCGGCGGCCTCGTTGCCGCCTGCCTTCTCTCCTGATCCGTGAGTGGAGGTAGCCTCTTTATCGTCTACCTCCCTCACGCTCGAATTACTTAAGGAAGAGGGAGCCTCATCATCAGAATCACTTCTCTCCTCCGATTCCTCTTGTTCCCTACCCGGAACAACCTCATCCGCGGGCACTTCCCTAGCACGCCGTCTTCTTGGCTTGATAGCCGTTTGTTAAACTCTAGCCATTGTGTCCTGCACAAACACAAAGAGGGACGGATTTGGTGATGAGCACAACAGTTCCGAGAGTCTAGAAAAGGCACCCTCTATTCTAGATTTAGCCGTACCGGGAGACCGGCTGAATGTCCTAGGCATTGCCGAATGTGTGGATCGAGAGTTCATTTTTATTTTTAAAGAATATGTATATAGACGGAACAAGAATGTATCCAGATGAAAAAGAAGAAAAAGTTGAAAGAGGGTACAGGCGGTTAGCTTACTTTGATTCTGAATTTTCTGAAAACTGCAACAGACGGTGACCGGGTGTTGTAAGTGAGCACTCGAAAATCTTGAAAAACCTAAAGCAGACGGGATTAGAGAATCTCTCACTAGAACCTTACTTTCTCTCTCTTGAAAAATCTCAAAAGCTTATAAACTCTATTTATAGAGGGGTGAAACGGAGATATCCCCGTCACACCCCAGAAGGTGAATAGCCGTTATTACTATTCACCACTCACAGGGGGACGCGTGTCACAGGCGTCACGTGGCCCGCCACGTCACCCTTGTGAGGGGCAAATGTTTAGGGTAAAAATACCCTAGACACGTGGACCAGTGAGAAAGGCCCACGTGTGAAGCTCTTGTAGGCCACCATAGGCCACTCACCAGCTAACACGTGGCAACGTTAGAGAATAATCAAAATTGCGGCCTTCAAGGGCCCAATTCCCGAGGAATCCACACTTTGCGGCGTAGCCCATAAAATCTAGGTCAGAGTGACCTAGGGAGGGGCACTTTTCCAACAACTCAATTAATAGGGAGAAATTCCCCAAAATCAGGGACACATTCAATCATTTAGTACACTTATTTTCTCTTTCATCAAAGAAAACCTTATCTCCGAATCCGAGAAGATCCCATTAAATTTTTCGCACTTTTATCTCTTTTCAAGTTACTAACTTGATTTTCGGAGGCGGAGCTTCAACCACACGGAGTCTCCGTTGCTTTTGCAGGTACAACTCAGCCGGACCAATCTTTGTGACGTAACTCTCCCGAGGGACATAAACACCCAAAACAGGAGTAAAGTCCATTACACTGAAGTATTAGGGTTTCAATACATAGTCGTTAGTCATCTTTCTCTAAATTCACTCCCCTCTCTCTCTCATCACTCAATCTGCTCACTCTGAATCTACTAAGAAATTCAAGCTATTTTCTTCATTTTCCTTATTTTTTCGTTGATGTATGATCTCTTCTTTAATCATCTATTTGGTTTTCAATTTTTTTTAGCTTACATTTGGGATTTTGTGAATTTATTTTAATGAATTTTGTTGGATCTTGAAGATTTGATACATTTGGAAGACTGAATTAGTGTTGATTGAGATAAAAAAAAAAACGGTTAAAATAACGATTGGAGTTCGATAGTTTCTAAGGCAAACTGGAGAGCGCGAGATTCATTTCTTCTTCGCTCTCTTACCCTCAATTTTGAGATCCGATTGGACCTTCATCGCCACCTCCTCTGCCGCCGGAGTCCAATGGCACTTGCTTCTCTCTCCTCTTCTTCCTCGTTCAACCGCTGCTTCCATCTTCTGGGAAAATGGTACTTGTTCTTCTCTCATTTTTTTTCAAGCGATTTTTATACTTTTGAATCGATTTATTTGATCAAATTCTGTGATTATTTATAGAATCGAAACTTAGAAACTATTTTGATCTTCAAATTGGTACGTGTCTTTTCATCTCTTAATCCATTTTTTTTAATTATGCATCTAGTGATGTTAGTCATGTTACACGATTTAATCTCATTGGATTTTATTTGATTTGTTAAGAATTAAGGTAGGATTAAGATCAACCATTGATGAAGTTTTTCCAAAATATATTAATAGATCTTATGTCACTTATGCGGTTTGATTTTGTATTTGATGGTTGATATTAATTGACTACTTTGTATGAATTATTCATTTATGGACTACCTAAAGTATGAAAAGAGAAATAAGACAATATTCTTATGATATAGTGAACAGAGCTGAACTAAACTGAACTGATCGGGCCTGAATTGAATTGAAATTAAGCGGAAGAGAACAGTCCCTTATAGTCTCATTTACTTGTTGACTTTTCATTATAGGTCATTCTTAATTATTTTTATTTTACGTTTACTTATAGTTTTAGCCTCATTTTCACGTTGATTATATGGTGCCATTAAACAGGTACCAAATGCAGTTGGATTTATTCTCAAGACGATTCAATTAGTAGTCTATGCTCGTTATAGTAATCTAAACAATGATCAACAATATATTGAGCCCCCTGTTTAGTGGAAAATCAGCAAATTACTCAATTTTTTATTAATCAATCACTTTTAGATTTTATATTTGTATACTTCGTACATAAAATTTACTCCAATGTGTAGCTTGATTCTTTGATTTCTGCCGCTTGTATATAAATTTATGTAACTTGAAATTTAAAAAAATTGTGTATAATATGATTGTCATACAGAGCATTTGTTACTCCATCTATATAATAAGCTCATACGGAGCATTTGTTACTCCATCTATATATTAAATCTTTTGTGCTTTACATGATTTTCGTGCTCATTTTTGCAGGACAAAGTATACCTGGATAATGTGGAGGCAAGTGTTGCTGTTCTGAAAAAGGTTTCTGAGGAAAGAAGGGAACAACATCTGAACCAGCCATCTCTTGAAATTGTATAGCAGACTCTGAAGAGTTTCCAGCAGAAGGTAGGTTCCATGATCCTCACTCAACCTTTTTATTTGAGTCAATCACTTCTGGAGCCGTAGATTGAAGGATAAAATACAATAAAAAATAAAGATTGATAGAGAGAATCAACTTCTGCTAATTCTGTTCTTGAAAAATAGGCCATAATATGATTGTATCAGACTTTGTATAATTCCTTGGCTCATAACAGTGATATCTACAAGAATTAAGTATGTAGTATGCTGAATTACATTGACTTAGGTAGTAGTTAAAACTTTTTTTATTGAAATTAAAGCTGATGGGTGAGATATACTGTCATTTTATTTTTAAAGTACTGTATTTTTTGCGATTTTTGAAATCAATATGTTGCTAGAATCTCAATAAATGGAGATCCCTTTGGTGATTTTAGGCTCACACTATCATGGTTGTGTTTATCTGAGAAAATGGGGTGCTATATTAAGCCGAGGTTTCCTGGTTTGTGGAAAAAGTTATAATGGGATTACCTCTCACATGTGAGAATTTCTCTTGTAGGGTCTAGGGATGGCCTCATAAGAAGCCGGATTAAAATGGGATTACCTCTCGTGCTCATCTTGGAGAAGCAAGGTGTCACCTTTATTATTATTATTATTATTTTTTGCTGCCGAGAGATAGGCTAATAATTCCATGCATCTTCTGATCATTGTTTTGGTAGTCCTGCATAATTACAACTCCTTTTGCCTCTGATGAACTGTGCACTTGATTATGTCCTCTATGTGTTCCATGTTGTTACTATTATCTCTAATCGATTATGATGTAACACACGTCTCAAAAGACCAGTTGCTCATGGTCTCAGGCCTTCCATTGTGATTGGAAATTTCAGTTTTAGTTTTTTAGGGATAAAAGTAATTATTATTATTTTATCGCAGGAGTATACAGGAAGATGCATTGATGGAAACAGAATTGTCTAATGGGGATGAAAATGGTGTAGCTGAAAGCCAATGTGTCGATGAAGTAAGTTTTTCATATCTCCCCGTACAAATGTATTATCAATCATAAACCATAACTCATTTAATTTGTTTGATTTGTATTCGAACCTACTCTCATAATTTTGAGCTGAGCATTGGATTTTTAACTCACAAATAGAATTGGAGATTGGCAATGGTTATTATAACAAAAATACTTAGTTTTGAAGTGTAATAAATCACATTGGCACATGATATATCCTAAATTGCAAGCTTCCCTTCTGACAGTACTGATATACTTCATTGGAGAAGCTGAGGTGCAACATAATCTTCTTGATGAAGCGCCTAAATTCTTTTTTATGAAATGTTTCACTCTTTTTTAGTGAATGGTGGAGTCCATAATGTAATATATATATATATATATATATATATATATATGTGTGTGTGTGTGTGTGTGTGTGTGTGTGTGTGTGTGTGTGTGTGTGGAGCATTATCATGCAGACTGATTACTTGGAAATAGTAGGTAAGAAGTTGGTTGCTTAAGCAGGGTCAATGCTGAAATAGTATGCCTACTGTGATAATATGATAAAATAGCTTGCATATGAGTAATAACTTGCCTTTCTTTGTCAAGATATTGGACCTTGAAACTTAGCTTGTAGTATCTTTTTCATTAATGATATAAATGTAGCTTTATTACTATTTTTTAGTAGATCTTGAGGTAAGTACTCATTATTGTACTAGACTTATTCTAATAGCCATTACATGTTGAGTCTTGCTTGACCATCTTTTGCTTAGCTGAAAGGTGTGCGTTTCTAAGTTTCTCTGTATATATTCATCTTTTGTTGCTATACAGTCATTGGCTCGCATGAACAAGAACTCGTGGCTATTTTGGTGGAGCCTTTATCTCATAGTTAGTGAAGTTCCTCGTTTTACTTTATTTTCTGTAAAATTCACATAGTCCCTCGCAGATAAATAGCTATCTATTTTTTTGATCCATTACAAATACAAGTACAAATTAAATGTTATGAGGTACTCTTAAAATTTACATCATGTTCATTAATTTTTGTAATGCTTATCGTATTGGTACGATTGAAATAACTTTGTTCAGGATTTAAGGAAGTGTACAACGGTTCCAAACATGTCTATCTTATATAATTTGGGATGCTTGTTTTGGTATATTGCTATCTTAGTCCAGGTTTGTTCATTTTCCCTTTTTTTGCAGGCTTGAACAAATATGGAGGAAGATAGACAATGAAAGAAGTACTTCAACTTTTATAATGTATGCTGCCGCTCTTAGTTGCTGCAGCCAGCTTTTGGTTGCTGCTGTTTTGCTACTAATAATGCTGCTCTTTGTTGCTACTGATACTGCTGCATTTAGATGCTGCTATGATTCGTTATTTACTAAAATTTAATTAACATTTTTAGCATTACAATATTGTTGGTTTATAAGGAGCTTCTTGATGTAAATTGAATTTGGTGTATATGCTATGATTGAAAATATGTTTGTGGCATGAAAACCAGCATTTGGTATATATTAATTATAGTTGATCGTATTTATTCGTGAATGAAAAAAGATTAGGGGTATTTGTAGCTGGCACCTGGTTGCTAGTTACAAATACCCCTAATATTTTGCCTAATTTAAACATTATTCGTAACGGACATTTCAGGTGCCAGTTACAAATAACAACTTATTTGTAACGGGCATTTCAGGTACCCGTTACGAATAATGGGTTATTTGTAACGGGCATTTCAGGTACCCGTTACGAATAATGGGTTATTTGTAACGGGCATCTGAATGTCAGATGCCCGTTACAAATAACCCATTATTCGTAACGGGATCTGAAATGCCCGTTACAAATAACGCATTATTCGTAACAGGCGTTTTAGGTGCCCGTTACGAATAAATTGTTATTTGCAACAGGTGGTGCCCGTTACAAATAACAAAGACCATCCGTAACGGCCGCATATGTAACGGTTGCTGCCCGTTACGGATGGACATTTTTTGCCCGTTACGGATGGCCTTTTTTCCACTAGTGTGCTTAGGTAAAGTATTTTGAGAGAATAGGGAGACTAGTGTTTAGGCTAAAGAGGGAGAAGAGAATGATTTTGTGATCAATCTTGTTGATTATTAAAAAAAGGAGTGATATGACGTCTATTTATAATGAAGAAAGAAGGGTCGAAGAATTAAGATAAAAATTCGAATTTAATCAAAATAAAACCTGATAGACAGTAGTTTTTGCGATTTGTGTTTTTATCATATCTTTTTATCCAGAATTTAGAATAAGATAAATAATATGTCGTTGGAAAGTTGTAGAAGTCTACTTTCTAACCCAATCGAAATCATATTAAAATATCTTGTATAATAAAGGATATGGGCCGAAATAGTGGGACGGTGTTAGTTTTGGATAGTGTATCGTATTTCAATCATTTTTTTCGTTATAGCTCGGAATTAATATTATAATATGTCATTGGAAAGATAATTTCGAGGGATATCCAACCATCTAAGATTTGGATATAATCTATGAGGCATAAAAATAATATCTGACTATCTTTGAACGTCTTTCAATTCGAATAGAATTAAGACTTTAAAAAATTAAAAGTTTTATTTAATTTCAAACTCTTTAATCTTATCTTTTCAAAAGGAACAATTAAGATCTTTTAGAAACTTATTGAAGAAACTAATTAATCCTAATTGTTTTAGGAATGAGATTAAAGTCTCTAGACCCTCCACATGATCATTGGGTCGTAGGTAACATGGGCTTCGATTCGATTTAGGCTCAGTTTAGTATTTTGCCCATAACTTATTCGCTATAACTCAGATTTGGGCTTATAATATATCGTTAATATTCAATCATTGCACCCAGATTATGGACCAAAATAAACTAGTCTAAACGTTTCTACATAATGAATGATTTTAAGGGACACGAAATGATTTATTTTGGGTTTAAAGGCACGAAAAGAGGAAAATAAGTTATGGTTTGGGGAAATAGGCTAGGAATTGCGTTGGTTTTGAAATGTATTGGGATTGAATATGGATTTAAACACTCCAAGATTAAATGCTGAACCAGACAATAATGGCGGTGAAAGGTTATTTATCATCGGGTTTGATTTTGGGGAAACATTTTTAGGTGTCTACAATAATATATTCAAAATAAATTCTTAAGTCATATACAAAACTATATAAATTCTATTTTTTCTAAATGTTTTTTTAATGGTTATTTTAACACACTAATTTGATTATGAAAAAACACAAACTATTGTTTGCGGCAGTCCGCATGCACTGACGCACCCAATAGTTCTTACAGCAAGGTCGGAATCCACTTATTCTCTACCATCTCTAGAATATTTAACTTGATTTTCAATTTCATCATCTTCTTTATTAGATTAAAAATGGCAAGAGCAATCTCTAATGTCACCATAAAATCCCGTCGCAACTCCTCTAGTAATGGCCGCTAATCCATCGACAATGATGGCTACTCCTCCAACCATGGCAGCAACTCCCACCGCATCTCCCGCTAGATTTCCTCTTTCCACCAACTAAAGCTCCCACCGCCTTTAGTCTCGGAGTCGTCGCCAGTCCAGGATCTGCCACGTACCACTGGTCCAGGTGTCCATTTTTGTATGAGTCCAAGCGCTGGTTGTTGACAAACAATCGAATTTGTTTATGGTTTTGTGGTTTTCGGATTTGCATGTTTTGAACCAATTAAACTAATTTCTCATGTTATTGCATCTGAATTCATCCATCTCATTTATTGGATACATGTTTTATACTTTTATGGTTGGGCGGTGTAGACACCCAAATGTATCTCTCCAAAACCGAACCCAGTGATGAATACTTTTCACGTCAATTGATTATCGAACGAAGTGAAAGTGTGGAAAGTCTAATAATGAGGATGTTTTCATTAAAATATTTCTCTTTCTGTTTTCTAAAATATTTCTTTTTCTTACTCCAATTTATGAAAAATAGCCAGTCCAATTTGGTTTGGTCCATAATAAATATAGTGTAGTTGGATTGGGCTAGAAAAGAGCTTTCCAATGATATATTATAGGCCCAATTCCGATGACTTGTGAGGAAGTTATGGATTAAATTAAATTAGGCCCAATGATTTTTAAGAGTGGGCCGATGATCTAGAGGAGGAACTATTAATTATATTTTTGAAAGAATGTTTTATTTATGATAAAATAAATTAAATATGATTTCGAAAACTGCTCGGACGCTTAATTACCTGCAACCGGTGTTAAAGGTCATTACGCATGGAAAAGCGCGTTGACTTTTGGACGAGCGCGAGACGCCCGAGTCGTCGCTAGGCGCTAACCATCATCGTTTGGCGCTGGCTCCTGTCGTTTGCGACAGAAGGATTTTTTTTCCGAATATGATTTTCTTCGATCCCGTGCTTTTTTTTAAAAAAAAAAATAGGAGTCGTATCTCCCTGTTTTCAAATCATCTATATTCATCATCTACATGTACAATTTTCTATATTCTGTCTCTAAAAGATAGAAGCTTTCTTTCTCTCTTTTTCTTTTTCTAAACCTTCCCTCTCTCAAAATTCCTCATACATTAGCTTTAGAAACACCTACCCAAGTTTGAAGTTGCCTTTGCCCTAAACGTGAAAGTTTTGTTATTTCTAAGGGTTTGGTCCCAAATCCCTATTTCAGTTATTTAATTTAATTGTTTTGAATTGATATTTTCCTTGAAGTTACTAACGCGTGTATTTTGTTATTAGAATGAGGTACGAGGCATCGAAGTAAGTGCTTTAATTGTTATTCTTTTGATATAGAAATCACGCTTAGATTATTATTTTGATTCCTAGTATCATGTTAGGATGTTTTATTACTTCCTAGTATCATGTTTAGGGTAATAATTATGTTTCCAATATCAATTATGATTATTGTGATGCTTCCTATTTCTTTCCTAATATCATGTTAGCATCTTGTTAGGGCAAAAACTTTTATCTTTGATGTTTAGTGACATGCAAGGATTTGTTATTAATCTTGTTAGTATCATGCCTATGATCTTGCTATTAATGTTATGCATTAACACTATTATTTTGATTATGATTTTAATTTATTATTATCATGTTGCTTGATTATATTTATTGTTATTGCTTGATCAAACCTTTTATGCATGTTTAAACGAAATTTGTACTTGTAATACCACTTAATAAGATAATTAATGATCTTGTTTAGGTTCATTTAATTATGATTTAAGTGATTGCCAATATTAGTTTTGTTTATGCATTAATATTCAACCAACATAGATTAAACAGGTTTAGGGTTAACCTATTGATTGTATGTTAGTCAGAAAGTGCACATGAATACAAGAAGAATAAAGTAGAGGCCTATTATTAGAGCAAGTTTAATCTCTCTTCGGTTGGATTTATATCTTCATCCCCGAACTTCCAGTCTTAGTTCCAGAACTATTGGAGTTACCGATCTCCTGGATCGTGAAGGGGTGTAACCTTCACCCTGTGAACGGTTTACAAGTTCCTAAAACTTGTTGGCGACTCTTTTACTCTAGCTTCCTTTGATTTGGACGCCACCATGCTTAAGTGTATGATCACAGTGGGGCTCAAGTGTGGGATGACTTGAAATATTCCCTACATTTTTTTGGCGACTCCACTGGGGAGGGTTTCTATTTTAATTCCTGAAATTTATTTTTGCAATGATTTAGAACGAGTGTTTGAGACTCGAAAATTTCTAAGTATTTCATGTGCGTAATTTTGATTGACATTATTTGAATAATCATAATAAAGGTTCTCATCGGAAAGACCATCCGTAATGAGTAAAAAACATAGGATTTTTACACGTAGGAATTTAGGGAAATATCTTTCACATCTAGAATCGAAATAATGCTACAAAAAAACTGAAAAATTCAAGAACAGAAAGATGCTGAGGCATGTAAGAATTAGCACTGAGAAAACAGCATCGGCGCCTAACGTTGGCGTCGTCGCCTAGCGACAAGCATGTCGTCTGGAAACGGTGCCAGCTTCTGGCGACAAAACTATTTTCTCGCGCCAAATTCTTCCACTACCGAGCTAGAAATCTACCTTCTTGTTTTGACTAGTTTTCAAGTACTGTTTGCTCGGTTTTACTTCCTGATTGAGTTTTTCTGTATTTTTTTGAAACCCATATGTGTTCTACATATGGACATAACCCTCTGCGAATTCGTGCTCCATCTACCCAATCGAACGCTCCTGGCAACGAAGGGTACATCCGAGAATGTTGAATTCACCAAACCATGGAAGCGAGTTTAACTCGCGGGGTCCCATCCACACGCGTCAACCCTTCCAAAGGTAAGTCTTTCTGTAGGCGTCGCTCGAAGTGCGCCTACGTAAAAGCATGTTGTGAATATGCTTGGCAATCATAGAAAGTGGGAATTGACATTACGATTAGGAACAAAGCAAAGTAGGGAGTCGCCAACAAGTTTTTAAGGAACTTGTAAACCGTTCACGGATCATAAAAAGGCAACCACGAATAAGGGACAACGATAGGCAACAACGATTGACCCGTGAAGGTTGCACCCCATTCATAATCCATGAGATTACTAACTC